GTGCAGGTCGGACTCGGAGAGGATCCCCAATATTAAAATTAAGTTATCCAAGTCGGTGACGGCTTTTATATATATATTTGCAACTTAATATCTATTAAAATATAGACATATCATAACTATATTCGACATTCACTCTCTGGTTTATTTTTTTCTCTAAAATCACGCAAACAATATATTTTCCTTTCTGAAAATCAATATCTGAAGGTGACGGTAAAAATCTGTTTTTCCTCTAAAATTAATTTTTTTTCGTTTATAAACAAAAACAACATTGTTATTAAATAAATAAAAACAAGTTATCCAAGTCGGTGACGGCTTTTATATATATATTTGCCATCGACAAAAGAGAAATACATCTGTATATATAGATATGTGTGTACTAAATAACAAAAATCTCTCATGGCTCAGTTGGTTCACGTGCTTGTCTATGGTGCTCTGCTTCTTAGGTTCAAATCTAGGGAACAACAATTTTTTTATTTTTCATCCAACCAAACGGTGTCGTTTTTAGTAAGCTGACGTGTATCTTGCCATGTCATACTCTGTCAAACCTCGTCAGCATTTTTTAACAGTTGACTAAGGTCAAGATAGATTTTGACCTATCTATTAAAGTTCAGATCGTAAATTTGAATTTTTATATAATATAGATAGAAATTGGCACCGTATTTTAGTTTGGATTTTTTTGGCACATCAAATTTAGTTCGGATTGGTTTTGGCCCTTTTCCCATATTCATATAAGTTAATCTTTGGATTTGATCCAACAGTCTCATTAGAACAACAACAATATATATATATATATATATATATATATATATATATTTTTTTTTTTTAAAATGGCTGTTGATGACATTTTGTAAACGTAATTATACGCATACATAAGCCCATCTTTCAATTTAATCAAACAATCTCATTCGAACTATACAACAAGTTTTTTTTTAAAAAAATAAATGGTTGTTGTTGACATTTTGTAAACGTAATTAACCACATACTATATCATATAGGCCAATATTTTTCATTAGAACTCAACTACAACGAGAATTTGTTTTTTTTTTCTGAAATAAATGGTTGTCATAGTTAAGTCAATTTTCTCTGTATCAAAGAGAATTGTCTTAATTTTGGATCTAAGAAATACTAGTTTAGCATTTTATAAGACAACAGTGTCAGTGACACCAAAAATAGGGCTCACCTAGAACTATTTTTCTGCTTTTTATCATATTCATTTTATTAGGCATTGAATCTAAATCGTATTACGGTTCGAATCCGTGTTACTGTCACATAAATGTTTTCGTCATTAGAAAAAAGAGTCTTCCTTGTCATATGTTAATAGAAAATTTATGGTTTGCTTTCTATTGATTATTGTGGCGGGTTGTTTAGCAATTGGAGATAGGCCCAATCAAAATTAGGCTAAAGGCTCATAAAATATATACATTTTTAGTCTGACAAATTCGGAGATAGGACAATCTTCTAACATCACAAGTTAAGATGATTAAGTTACTTCCTTTTGGCTTAGCTGTGAATTTTATGCCGATGCATTAGAGTAGTTTCCTGAATTCGCTGTCGCATATCCACGATGATTATTCACTCTTATTTTCTTCGGCTTTTAAGTTTTATTGTATTAAGCAAAAAGTTTTGATAAACTCTTTTATACGAATGTAACCACAAAGTTTGAATGAATGTAAATTAATGTTCTCACAAAAGTACATTTTTAGTAGAAGCAAACAAATTTTCCTTTGGAAACTTGGAAAAAACTTCAGTGTATTCGACGGATGTGAGAGTCGAATTCGATCAAGAATCAATGAGTAATATTTCGTAGTATGTGTTTTTTTTGTAGTTAAAGAGTGCATGTGCGAACATCTGGACTCAAACTCGGATCTAGATTCTAGCATCGAGGCGTTTTTAAAGATCTTAACGAGGAATAAAAACCTTTGGCCATTATGTAATAAATTTTGAGTCTGAAACGATTACAAATCTGTATATATAACTGAAATTAGAATCCAGAAAATAAGTCAACTAAATTGAATCCGACAAACGTTTTTGTTTTATTTGGAATTAATTAAAACTATAAAAACAAAGAGAAAGGACAAAATTTGGCTGAGAAAAGCATACAAATTATTATGAGAATCTAATCTCATATATTAGGAAATAATATCTCCTCAATTACTTCTCTATAGCTGTACATATCGTTGATTGATATTTTTTGTAATTAGGCATTTAAGAGCGTAGCTTCCTTTTCAAGACTTGTACTTGTATATATTTCTGCCTCTATGGCTTGTCAATACACACACAACTTTCAGTCTCTTTTTGTTCATGGTATCAGAGCCATCACGCCAAATAAAACAAAATGAATGACCAAGTTAACAATGGTGAGACTGTGAGGAATGAAGCAACTGCTGATGTCGTGAAAAACAACTCGGCATATCAGCTTTCTGCAACTGAAAACCCCGGAGGAATCATTGCTCAAGTGCAGTTCACCGGTGATAACTTTGACGAATGGGCGCAAGCAATTCGATCTGCCTTGCGAGTAAAGAAAAAATTCGGCTATGTCGATGGGACAGTGTTGAAGCCGAAGGAAGATGCACCGGAGTATGAAGATTGGATGTCGGTCAACTCCATGGTGGCGCTGTGGATCCTTAACACCATTGAACCAAAGGTGCGAAGGACTCTCGGTAACAAAGACGATCCAAAAGATTTGTGGCAGGAAATCAAAGATTGATTTTCTGAAGGAAACGGGCCAAGGATCCAAGAAATCAAAGCAGAATTGGCAAACTGTCGTCAACAAGGCATGAGCCTTATTGATTACTTTGGTAAATTACAGATTCTGTGGGAAGATCTGTTAAACTATGATCAGGCACCGACTTGTCATTGCGGTGGTTGTACTTGTGATTTGCGAGGTCAATTGGAGAAGAAACGTGAAGATGATAAGGTGCACCAATTTCTTCTTGGTCTCGACGATGCGGTCTTTGGAGGTCTCCGTACCACAATCATAAGCACTGAGCCATTGCCAAACTTGAATCAAGTCTATTCTAAGGTGAAATCGGTGGAGCGTGTTCGTACGGTATTACGAAACCGAGAAGAACAAGGAGTACAAGCTGCAGCTTTTGCTGTACAATTTTCTCGACCTACATGCGGTGGAAGACAAAAGCAAGCTCCTTTGCTCCCATTGCAAACGCCGTGGACATATCAAGGAGAACTGTTTTGAAATCATTGGCCATCCTCCATGGTGGGGAGAAAGGGGAGGGAAATATGCTCGCGGTCGAGGACGTGGTGGAGCCGTGCGTGCCCACGCAGCTTACGTACTCGGATCTGAAGGGCAAAGTAGTGAAGCTGCGAGAAACGGATTCACTGGCCTGAACAATGATCAATGGGAAACACTGATTCAACTTCTAGAGGATCAGAAAAAGGGACCACAGAACCGCCTAAACGGTAAGCCTGATTCTCTCGACTGGGTTCTTGATACAGGGGCTGCCAATCATATGACAGGTTGCTCAGATTTTTTGAGTGAAGTGACAACGATTTTGCCATGTAAAATTGGTCTTCCTGATGGTCATGAAACTACATCAGATAAGAAAGGGACGGTTGTCTTTGATAACAGCTTTTCTCTTCAGAACGTGTTGTTGGTTCCAAAGTTGCGGTGTAATCTCATATCTGTATCACAACTCGTAAAGGACTGCGATTGTGTGATGCAAGTTGCTAACATCGGGTGTGTGTTACAGGACCGTACAACGAGGACGTTGATTGGAGCGGGTGAATTACGAGACGGTCTCTATTTCTTCCGATGCGTAGGAGTTTTTAATGCTTTTCGTACGAATAAAGACGGAGCCGAGGATATGTGGCATCAACGGCTCGGACACCCGTCGAATGGAGTTTTTGATTTGCTTCCAGTTCTTAGTAAAAGAGTTTCTGATTTTTCATCTTGCGATGTATGTTTGCGAGCTAAACAAACTCGTGATATGTTTCATTCAAGTTCTAATAAAGCGTCGAGGATTTTTGAATTGATACATTTGGATGTAT